CATAATTATGTATTTATTTATCAATTCATTTGTCTGTTTATTTATTTATTTATTTAATTAATTCATCTATTTTTTAGGCAAGAAGTTCTGTATGATTAGTTCAACACACGGCTAGGTATAATGAAATCAATTTCATCTCACGATTAAAAAACCCTCATTTCTTTTAATACAAAAAGATGTTTATTAATAACGACAGCTCTGAATGTGCACTTCACGTAGATTAATCTTCTGCGCACAGAAAAGAGGGGGACGTCATAATGAACACAATTTTGTCGCCCAAACATGTCGACTACATTTGTGACACATTTTCACATTTTTGCTATACAGGAAACTACGTCACATTACGGAGAGCAATTTCTCGTTAGACACAATACTAACAATATTACGTCGACAATACAATAAATATTCTCATTTAAATGTTAACGGAAAGACAGAAGAAAAGCAACCCAAAAACAAAACACAAAAAAAACACAAACACAAATCAAAACAGTAGTCCATCTTACGAAAAGACGTTTCGTGTGGAGGAAAGACATTCTACTCTGAAAAATTGTACAATATTCAAAGGGGCATAATCCTAATAATCTCACACACATTCCACAGAGTCATGACCAGGGTTATGCCCCTTACCTTGAGCTCCTCATCACTCATGGTCTGTCCCTGTTCTTCCATCATCCTCTGCTTCTGCATGAGTAGTTCCTTCCTCCTCATGTCCTCCTCCATCGTCTTCTGCTTCTCCATCATCAGCTGCTTCTCCATCATCCTCTGCTTCTCCATCAGCAGCTGTTTCTCCATCTCCATCTCTTTGTTCATCATCTGTTGCTTCACCATCATCTGGGACTTGCGCATCATGTCCGCTGTACAGGGAGGGAGAGAGGGAGTGTGAGGGAGTGAGAGAGAGAGAGAGAGAGAGAGAAGGTGTGAGAATGAAAGAGTGAGAAAGAGAATAAGAGAGAGAAAGGGACACAGAAAGAGACAAACAGTTTGTGATTCCGTATATGAGAATGAGTTGAGGGTAAGTTGTTCAACATGGTATGAGTGAGATAGTGATTGGTGAAAGGACAGGATAGGCCGAGATTGAGGGATACATAGATAGATAGATAGATAGATAGATAGATAGATAGATAGATTGATAGATAGATAGATAGATGGAGAGGGAGAGATGGATGGCGGATGAGAGAGAGAGAGAGAGAGAGAGAGA